CGCGTGACGTTTTCGAGCCGAAGAAGGGGCCAAGACGGGCCCAGAGGGCCCCAGGATGTTGACGAGACGGCCGAAGAGAGCCCCGAGTCGCCGAAAGATCGCCCCGAGACTCCAAAGGTCGCACAGGATGCCCCAAGAGGCTCCCGAAAAACGCGAGGATGCCCCAAGACTGCCCCCAAGAGGCCTCCCGCGACATCCCAACGAACATCCCATAGGTCTATGACCCACAGCCCAGGCACGGTGGCGGGATGGGCCGAAGGTCATTAGAGATCCGCCGCCCCCTTTTGATGTATCAAAAGGGTGCCTGGCGTGTTGGACCCTCTCGGTTTTGGTTTTGGTTTTTTTCCATAAGATCTCCCCCTGGGGCTTCGGCCCGTCCTGCCACCGTGCCGTTCGCTCGGGACATCCTCAAAAAATCACGAAGATGGCCCAAGATGGCCTCCAAGTCCGCCCAAGATGGTCCAAGACGGCCTCCAAGACGGCCCAAGAGAATCCAAGACGGCCCAAGACGGCCCAAGAGGCCCCCCCGAGGCCTCCCAGACGGCCCACGTGCCCCAAGAGGTTCTCCAGGAGGGCCCGAAGAGGCCGAAATCCTTGATTTTTTAATAGGTTTTTGAAGGATTTGGGAATTTGCTTCTTCTCGGCATTCCGACGGCTCAAGACGGCCCAAGAGGCCCCCAAGATCGCCCAAGAGGCCCCCAGGAGGGCCCCATGACGGTCCAAGTGGTATCCAAGACGGCCCAAGAGGCCTCCAACACGCCCAAGATGGCCTCCAAGACGCCCCAGATGGCCTCCAAGACGGCCCCGACGCGCCCCAAGAGGGCCCCCAGTCGGCCCAGAAAGGCCCCCAAGGCGGCTCCCGACGGCGTCAGATGGCCGAAGTTGGCTCGAAGCTGGCCCAAGACGGCCCAAGAGGCCCCCAAGAGGTCCTCCAGGAAGGCCAGAAGAGGCCCAAAACCTTGATGTTCCTTAGGTTTTTGATGGAATTTGAAATCTCCTTCTTTTCGGCCTTCCGACGGCCCGAGACGGCCCAAGAGCCCCCAAAGATCGCCGAAATATCGCCCAAGAGCCCAAGAGGCCTCCAAGATGGCCCCAGAACGGCCCAAGAGGGCGCCAAGACGGCCCCGAAAGGCTCCCAAGACGGCACAGGAGGCCTTTAAGACGCCCAAGATGGTCTCCAAGACGGCTCTGGAGCATTCCAAGAGGGCCCCAAGTCTGCCCATAGAGGCCCCCCAAGCGGCTTCCGACGGCGTCAGACGGACCAGGAGCCCACCAAGGCGGCCGAACATGGCCCTAAGATGGCCCAAGACGGCCCAAGAGGCCTCCAAGAGGGTCTCCAGGAAGGACCGAAAAGGTCAAAATCAGTGATTTCCCATGAGCTTTTGAAGGATTGTGGCATTTGTGTTTTTTTCTGCCTTCCGACTGCCCGAGACGGCCCAAGTGCCCCCAAAGATCGCCCAAGAGGCCCAAGACTGCCCCAAGAGGCCCAAGAGGCCTCCAAGACGCTCAAGATGGCCTCCAAGACGGTCCAAGAGCCTCCAAGACGTCCTCCAAGAAGGCCAGCAAGAGTCAAAATGGCATCCAGACGGCCAAGATGACCTTCAAGATGCCCACGTGTTCCCCGAAGGCTTTCCAAACCGATTCGGGGAACAAATGGTCCGATAGCTTGGCAGGTCTGACCTCAACGTTCGGCCACATAGGCGCTTCCACAAAGGCAGAGGGCGGCGGTGATTCGACGTAGGCGTCTTCGATCCGCCGCCCCCTGTTGATTTATCACAGGGGTGCCTGGCGTGCCAAACTGTATGGCTTTTGGTGTTGGTTCTTTTCCCACAAGAACTCCACTTGGGGCTTCGGCCCGTCCTGCCGGCAACCCGGAAGACCCTGTTGCCAACGGTTTTCCTGCCCCAGGCGGCCCCAAGATGGCCTCCAAGACGGCCAAGATGCCTCCAAGACGGCCAAGATGGCCTCCAAGACAGCTCAGATGGCCCCAAGATGCCTCCAAGACGGCCCAAGATGTACCCTAGACGGCCTGAGACAACCTGAAGATGGCCCATGACGGCCCAAGAGGCCCCCAAGAGGCCTCCAAGACGGCCCAAGAGCCCTCCAAGAGGTCCTCCAGGAAGGCCCGAAGAGGCGAAAATCATTGACTGTTCCTAGGTTTTTGAAGGATGTTCGTAGTTGCTACTGTTCGGCTTTCCGACGACCCAAGACGGCCCAAGAGGCCCCAAAGATCGCCCCCACAGCGCCCAAGAGGCCTCCAAGATTGCCTCAGGACTGCCCAAGAGGCCCCCAAGACGGCCCTAAGAGGGCACAAAGGCAACCCAAGAGGCCTCCAAGACGCCCCAGATGGCCTCCAAGACGGCCCTGGAGCACCCCAAGAGGGCCCAACATCGGCCCAGAGAGGCCCCCCAAACGGCTTCCGACGGCGTCAGACGTGCCAGGAGCCCACCAAGATGGCCGAAGTTGGCTCGAAGCTGGCCCAAGACGGCCCAAGAGCTCCAGGAAGGCCAACAACAGTGTTTTTTGTCCTAAGTGTTTGAAGGTTTTTGGCATTTGTTTCTTTTCGGCCATCCGAAGGCCCAATACGGCCCAAGAGCCCCCAAAGATCGCCCAAAGATCGCCCAAGAGGCCTCCAAGATGGCCCCAGAACGGCCCAAGAGGCGCCCAAGACGCCTCCAAGATGGCTCCGTCACGGCCCAAGAGGCCCCCAAGACGGTCCCAAGAGGGCCCCAAGACGGCCCAAGAGGCCTCCAAGACGCCCAAGATGGCCTCCAAGACGGCCAAGATGGCCTCCACGATGCCTCCAAAACCGCCAAGATGGCCTCCAAGACGGCTTAGATGGCCCCAAGATGTCTCCAAGACGGCCCAGGATGCACCCAAGACGGACTTAGATGGGCCCACGAGGCTCTTAAGAGGCCCCCAGGACGGCCCAAGAAGCTCCCAAGACGGCCCCAAGAGGGCCCCAAAACTGGCCAAGAGGCCTCCAAGACGCCAAAGATGGCCTCTAAGACGGCCCCGAAGCGCCCCAAGAGGGCCCCAAGTCGGCCCAGAGAGGCCCCCAAGACGGCTCCCGACGGCGTCAGACGTGCCAGGAGCCCACCAAGACGGCCGAAGATGGCCTTAAGATTGCCCAAGACGGCCCAAGAGGCCTCCAAGAGGTCCTCCAGGAAGGCCCGAAAAGGCCAAAATCATTGATTTCCCATGAGCGTTTGAAATATTGTGGCATTTGTTTTTTTTCTGCCTTCCGACGGCCCGAGACGGCCCAAGTGCCCCCAAAGATCGCCCAAGACGGCCTCAAGAGGCCCCCAAGACGGACCAAGCGGCCTCCAAAACGCTCAAAATGGCCTCCAAGACGGCCCAAGAGCCCTCCAAGACGTCCTCCAAGAAGGCCCGAAAGGGTCAAAATGGCCTCCAGACGGCCAAGATGACCTTCAAGATGCCCACGTGCTCCCCGAAGGCTCTCCAAACCGATTTGGGAAACACATGGTCCGATAGCTTGGCAGGTCTGGCCTCAGCGTTCGGCCACATAGGCGCTTCCACAAAAGCAGGGGGCGGCGGTGATTCGCCGTAGGCGTCTTCGATCTGCCGCCCCCTGTCGATTCATCGCAGGGGTGCCTGGCGTGTTAGGTCCTAGACGGCTCTGGTTCTTTTAGAAAACTCATTGGGACTTCGGCCCGTCCCGCCGGCCACCCGAAGAGATCCCAAACTGCACATGTCAATGCCTTTCATGCCCAAGATGGCCCCAAAGATGTCTCCAAGACGGGCATGATGGCCCAAGATGGCTTCCAAGTCCGCCTAAGATGGTCCAAGATGGCTTCCAAGACAATCCAATGGGGGTCCAAGATGCCACCAAGACGGCCCAAGAGGCCTCCAATAGGTCCCCCACAAGGGCCCGCAGAGGCCAACAACATTGGTTGTCCTTAGGTTTTCGCAGGAGTTTGGCATTTGTTTCTTTTCGGCCTCCCGACAGCCCAAGAGGGCCCAAGAGGTCCCCAAGATCGCCCAAGACGCCTCCAAGATGGCGCCATGCCGGCCCAAGAGGCCTCCAAGACGACTCCAAGAGGCCCCCAAGACGGCCCCAGAGGCCTCCAAGACGCCCAAGATGGTTTCCAAGACGGCTAAGATGGCCTCCGAGATGCCTCCAAGACGGCCGAGATGACCTCCAAGACGGCTAATATGGCCACTAAGACTGGCAAGCTGCCCCAAGATGGGCCCGAGAGGCTTCCAAGATGGTCCCAGAGCCCAAGAGGTCCTCCAGGAAGACCTAAGGAAAAGAAAACCATTCATTGTCCTTCGGTGTTTGAAAGATCTTGGCTTTTCCTCCGTGTTTTTGCCCCGACCGCCCACGACGGCCCAAGGAGGCCCAAAAATCTGTTCAGAGGCCTCCAAGATGGCTCCACAACGGTCCTAGAGGCCCCCAAGGCAGCCCCAAGAGGGCCCCAAGACGGCCCAAGAGGCCTCGCCGTTTCTTCTTTTACTCCCCTCTCCTCATCCTCCTATTTCTCTGCCATGTGTTCCCCGAATGGTTCCCCAACGGATTCGGGGAGCACGTGGTCCGATAAGTTGGCCAAGCTCTGACGCAACCTTCAACCGCATAGGTGGTTCCAGAAACGCGATAACGGTTGACGGTCTCAACAATGGGCATCCAATATTCGTTCGAAGCACAATGTGCAAACCCATGGAACTTACACAAGGCGCTAGAAGTTCGATTCGTGAGCCGACTTACTCCAAGATAGCATCCAAGACGGACAAGATGGCATCCAAGACGGACAAGATGGCCTCCAAGATGGCTCCAAGACGGCCAAGAAGGTCTCCAAGACGGCGAAGATAGCCCCAAGAGGCACCCAAGACGGCCCCAAAATGGCCTGAAGATAGCCTTAGACTGCCCAAAAGGCCCGCCAGAGGCCTCCAAGACGGCCCAAGAGCCCTCCAAGACGTCCTCCAGGACACCCGAAAGCTCGGAAACCACCTGGTCCGATAGCTCGCCCGACTCCGTGTTCCCCGAAAGCTTTCGAAACCCACTCGGGGAACGCGTGGCCCGATAAACCGAACTTTCGGCTACGCAGGCGCTTCCAAAAAGGCAGGAGGCGGCGGTGATTCGCCGTATGTGTTGTCGATATGTTGAATATACACACCAAGCATTGACTAAGCATCCGAAAATTGGGGCGTATACCAAGCACCAGTCAGCATGACATCGTATGACAATCATTGTCTTATGCCAAAAACCCGAAAATGGTGGGGCTCATAGCCGCAACTGAGTCTGAAGTGAGACAGTGCAGGGACAGCAAGCGACCACAACCACATCGAAGACGCACCCTGGAAGATATTTTGGGCGTGCCAGCAATCCGTCAGACCACCAGAACCAGCGTGGTAGTGGTTGTGGTCGATGTGGGCGTCCTCGACGGCCAAATCGACCAGAACCACAACCAGAGTGCTGATGTCGAAGTTGGCGGGTTCTCCCCCAAACGACCCTCCAGGAAATCCACTCCGTTGTGGTTGTGGTTCTTCGTTGCGCCCAGAGACAACAACAAACTCGGATCGGGTGATGGCAGGCCTGGATTCAGTGGGACCTGGTTTAGTGATCTGTACCGGGGACGCCCCCCCCGCCCCACTCCACTAACCGGAATTGCCGTCGCCCGAAAAATAACAGACATGGTCTAGTGATTCCAATCCATGTTTTGGGCTTCGGGGCCCAATCTCGGGGGCGGCCTAGAGGGGGGCGTCCAAGAGGGGGGGTGCAAATCATGGGCTGCGGCATGTGCGTGCGCGGCCAAAGGGGGGGCCAGGGACGTATTGAAATAAGAAGAGGCACCATGAAATCCGGGGAAATATCATGGCCCACGCCATTCCATCCCCCCCCCCTGGTCATCCCCCCCTTCTTTGCCGCCCCCGGCGATCACCAACCGGCTCCCCTCAACCAGGGCCCTGGCCATACCCGATCGGAGCACGGCCTCCCAATCCGATCGAGAGCCAGGCGCTTCACTCGGCACGGTTTGCCGCCCGACGGCGCCGCACGCCGTCTTCGGTGCCATCCTTCCTCGGCTCGTCCGTGGCGGCGCCCGCCGCTCGCTCGAGCTCCTGCTTGTGGTCCTATCGGCGGCGGCGAGCCCCGGGGGGGAAAAGAGGAGGGGCGGGCCTTCTTCAGGAGGCTCGGAAATCCCGCTTTCTGAAAAGTGTTCCAAGCCTTCCCCGAAGATGCACAAGTTTTCTAAGCCTTCCCCGAAGGCCCCCAGCCTTCTAAGAAGTTGTCTAAGCCTTCCCCGAAGGCCAGAGGCCCTCTAAAGAAGCCCCGCCGCCTTCTGAGAAAGCCTGCTCCTTCTCACTTCCCCCCCTCGCTCGCCGCCGATCCTGGCTCAGGCGGAGGGACGCCGATAAGTGCGCGGTCAACACCTGCTTGTGGAACGGCTTGTTGATGTAGTGGTTGGCACCGCTATTGAGGCTCGCGATAATCGCTTCATTCTCTCCGCAAGCGGACACCATGAGGATGGGCAACTGGAACTGTGAAATGTGCATCTCCTCGCGCACGGTCTTGCAGACCTGAAAACCAGAGAGTCCAGGCATCATCACGTCGAGCAGCATCAAGTCAGGCAACACGTCGCAGCTCTTGAGGTAGTCGATAGCCTCGTATCCGTCCATGGCCACAACGACATCATAGTCGGAGCCCAGAGTACGCTTGACCACTTCCTGGTTCGTCTCGTCGTCATCCACCGAGAGAACTTTGGGCTTCAGAAGGCGCTGTGGGACAGGAGCCTCGCTGATGACGGGGTCCTCACTGAACTGACCCGGCTTCTCCGCCTTGTTCGCCGACAACTGCGCTGCCAAAGGCTCTGTCACGGCGGCTGCCACGGAGTCCTTCATGACCTTGGGCAAGCGCACGGTGAAGGTGGAGCCCACACCAATTTCCGACTCCACAACGATAGAACCTCCGTGCCGCTGAACCACCTCATGGGCAATAGAGAGGCCAAGACCGATGCCCTGGTAGCCCCTTATCATCGAGTTGTCCTCCTGTTCGAACGGCAGGAAGATGCGATCCAAAGCCACTTGCGAGATGCCCTGCAATTTACTTCATGTGGTAATACTGAACTAATTTCACCTAGCGTTATGTTTTTCTTTTTTTATTCAAATATACCACGGCAAAGGACCCAAGCAGATGCAGTTGTGAGTGACGCAGTTGTGAGTATCTTCCTCGGTGGAGCTCCTTATGGAGTCACGTAGCGTGTGCGAAGTGATTCGAAACTGACATGCGGTGGGCGGGAAGCGGGGAGCCGCATGCGGTGGAGCTCCCTATAGCGCCACGAAGCGTGTGAGGGGTGAGCCGAAATGGCCATGTGGTGGGGGGGCGCCGTGTGCGAACCCTGCCACTGGGTCTCCCGTGCAGTTCCTCATGGAGCCACGAAACGTGTAATGGGTGTGCCGACATGGGCATGCGGTTGGCAGGGAGCCGCATGCGAACCCTGTCACTTTGGGCCTTCGATGGAGCTCCTCATGGGGCCACGATCCTCGTGACGGGTGTGCCGAAATGGACATGCGGTGGATGGGGAGCCGCATGCAACCCCTGCCACTGAGGCCTTCGGTGGAGCTCCCTAATTATCGGGCCACGACATGTGGGAGGACACGAAACGCGTGAAGGGGTGTGAAGACATGACTGTGCGGAGGGCAGAGGATGGTGTGGGAGGAGCGAGGAGCGGGAGGAGGAAGGAGGAAGGAGTGATGCGGGGCGCTGTCTCCAAAACGAAGACCCAACACCACAAGATGGTCGGGACTAAACGAATCTGAGTAGACTATGCTTGTGATGGCATTCTACCCATCACATTAAGAGTGCGTGTAAGCGTAAAACCTTGCCGGTGTCGGTAACCATGATCTCGACCCACTTGCCATCGTCTGGGTCCACCTTCGAGGTCACAACGATCTTGCCCTTCTCGGTGAACTTGCAAGCGTTCGTGATGAGATTGTAGAAGACCTGCGTGCATTTGTGAGCGTCCGCCTCAATGATCGGCAACTCACCGACCTCGCTGGCAAGCTCCACATCTTTCTTCAGGAGGCTTTTGCCAGTCTTGTCCAGGGAGTTCTTGACAAGCACAATGATCTCATCCAGGATCTTGCTCAGCTCTACGGGGTCGTGCGACAGTTTCTTGACAGGCTTTTGCTTGTTTTTCGGGTCCGCCGACACCATGCTGGCCATGTCCATGATGTTCATGACGAGATCCAAAAGCCTTGTGGCGCAGCTCGACGCCATCTTCAGGAAACGAAGCTTGCTGGGGACCTCCTCCTCGTCGCAGAGGTGCTCCATGAGGCCTATGATACCGTGCAGAGGGCTTCGGAGTTCGTGCGAGACGATGGCCATGAAATTGATCTTGCGCTGCTCGGCTTCCCTGTACGCCGTGACCTCGGTGAGGTCATATCCAACAAGGGTGACGCCCTTGATGAAGCCCGCCTTGTTCCGCCTGTTGGCGGCACGCACAAGGGGGTGGAGGGAGGGGGGAGGGCTTCTTTGAAGGAGGCTGCTTATTAGAAGGCGCCGGCCTTACATCTATAGATAAGGCCCGCGCCTTCTAAGAAGCAGGGGTGCTTCTAAGAAGACCTCCCCCCTCCCCCCACCCCCCTCTGCGCGCGGCTGAGCCTGGGTGTCGCGCTGAGCACCAGCGTGGCCGCCTTCAGGCAGAGGTCTTGGCGACACCAGCCCTCGAGCTGCCCAGGGTTCAGTGTGGTCTCCACGCTGCCGCCCTCGTGGCCCAGCAGGGCTTTGCCGATAACCTGAGAGAGCCAACAAAAGACGTACGCGCCCAACCATGTACATAACACGGCCCCCCAATCCGCGAGACTGGCCGCCTGATACGAGCGTTCGCGCAAAACGTACTCTCGAAACCAACGTGGATTCATGTACGTGTACGGTCTTTTTTCGCTCCCAAAAACCTGCTCTGCCTGGGCCCTGCTCCCTATGCCCATCATGTGAATCAACTTCTTGCCCATGGCGAGGTCTGCAGGCAGGCCGGTCAGCTCTACGGCCTTTTGGTTCCACTCGTTGACCAGGCCTGCATCGTTCGCTCCGATGATGGGCACGGCCGCCATTTGGATGAGGGTCTCGAGATCTTCTGCCACGGCCTTCGCACGCGTGATTACCTCGTGGTTGGCGGCCAGGTCGTTCGAAACAATGAGCATTACCGACGTGCCCAGCTTGAACGAGATGTCGAAGACGCAATAGAATTTGTTTTCCCAAGTTGCGGTGATCCAACCGGGAACGGGCAGCAGGTACACGACACCGTAGGCACCGATCATGACCACGAGGTAGAGGATCAAGCTGCACCTCAGCCTGCCGGATGACCCCTGGTCCTTGATGTACAACGCGAACGCCAGCTGCTCCACGCTTGCCACGAAAAAACAGACGAATGCCCATGCGATGAGGACCCAAGCTGCGTAGACGTCCTGCTGACATCAAGGAAACGGGTCCTGAGGGAAACGGGTCCTGGACCCTGGGGCCATCCCCAGGACCAATTCTTCATCCCGAGTCGGGGATCTGCGTACTGACCTGGGTCAACACAAACGCGGGTCGGTCAGGCTTTGCAGGAGCGCGCGCCCCAACCCAAGTCAGTGCAGGATCCGGCGCTCTGGCTCACGATCGTTTGCACCGACCTCCGTCTCAAGAATCCCGACGAAATTTGTTTCTGTCACTTCCGGGGCCCGTGGAGAGGGCGCCAAGAACCCGACGACGAGGAACCGTGTCCCTCGGGACCCGTGTCCTTCACGACCAGGCCCTGCCAAGCGATCGCGCAGTAGATGCCCGTGAGCAGCGACGACGGGACCATGCCGTTGCGAGGTGTGCCGTCCGGGGCGTGGTCAAGCTGCCCGGAGATGGACAGGACCATTGGCGCACAGAAGACCCACTCGACGTAGCGCAAGCTGTAGACGATCTGATGTCCGCCGTGATGCGCGGCGAGCCACCCCTCGTGCACCACCTGAACGACGAACAGACAACGGGTCTGAAGATTTGTTGGTTTGTAGGCCTGGGGAGCACGCTGGCCGGGCGAGCAACTCAGTGGCGCTGAGCAGCGGATTGAGCCCGACAAGAGGCGGCGAGAACAGGGGCAGGGCGGCCGCGAGGCGGGGGAGCGAGCGATATAGCAACTAGCCTCATGCACGGTGGCATGGCGACCTTGCGCGGTGGCTTCCGCGGGCCGCCAGCGAGGCACACCGCCCAGAGAAGGGGGCGCTTATGTGCGACCTTGCGTGGGGAGCTTGCGCACGATTGTCGGTGCACTCGACACAGGCTTTATCCGTCGCTCGCCTGGATGTCGTTTGCCATGAGCGTGTAGACGGTGCAAAGAAAAGCGAACACGTAGGTCATCTTCTTGTTCAGCCTGAGTCGTCGGCGGGTGCTGTTGTCAGACTGGAACGTGCGGTTCAGGCCCATCAGGGGGATCGAGATGCCAATGCAGGTCTGCAATATACATGTTATCTCATACAGTGTACAATGCAGTATATGTGGTGCATACTGTATAGAGCACGCGCTATCTTACATGGATGCACGTACTCAAAAGGGGTATATATGTATACAGATGTATATCACTTCACACCCCAATTTATGTATATATGTACATGTGTATGTGTATGTGTATGTATATGTTTATGTATACGTATCGGTCCACGTATGTATGTGCATCTATATATACATATATATATATACAGATACTCCGTGTATAATACATAGTGGCCTCGTAGCACAGGCCAGCCGCCGCCAGAATTGCTGTCATCCGCATGAACCCTGCTATCGACGGGTCCTCTGCGCGCGCGCACGGTCTCCTGTCCGCGTACTCGTAGAACACATGGGTGTAGGCCATCATGATAACGCAAACCGCGGAACACCAGTTGCAAGCCTTCGACGCGATGGGCGTCAGCTTGAGATCGCCACTTGCGTCTTGGGGGATGGGCCATCCCGACCATCCCATCATGATGCGGACAACTAGAGAAGCGCAACGTCGGTGGTGAAACAACTGCGCAAGAACAAGCTCATAGTCCAGCAGGAAAACTTGAGCCAATATATATATATATAGAGAGAGAGAGAGAGAGTGAGAGAGAGAGAGAGAGAAAAACCAAATAACGCAGTAGTGTCATCCATACTACCCTGCACCCAATGTCTCAGAACTTCTACATCGACGCATTCGGCGGTGGACAAACCTTTCTTTAATAGACGTCCCCTTGGCCTGGGACCGACACCGACGGGCCTGGACCCGTAAAAATGACGGGCGCGACGCCCTCTCGCGAACCGAAAACGGCCAATTCCTTAATCGACGTGTCAGGGTAGGAGGTCTGTCCACCCCCGACGCATGCAATTCCCTGACTGCCTGCCTGCACACTTCGGTGCTACATGACTTTGCTTGTGTCCGTGTCTCCACGTCTGCAATGTGTTAACCGACGGGGTCAGCCTTTGGGAGACACCTGTGGCTGAGACCCGCATCTGAGAAACAGACTTACTAAGCCTTCCTGGAGAAGACCCTTGGTGAGAGAGCTCCTAGACATTCCGTAGAAAGACAAAGGTGCATGATCACGGAACGATCTGAAGATCTGCTCAATCACGCACTCGCTTCGCGCACGCGTATGTTCTAGTGAGTCTCGGACTTGACGCGAGTCTGGACTCCACGACACCTTGGATGACATGAACATTCCACATAGCACACATATTTGTGCGCGCATGCGTGTGTAAAAGCACAGGTGCATGCTGATACACACGCACATGGGGGGGGGGGGGGGGGGGCAAACTTGGGGGCCACACATGTGGGCAACACTTGGGGGCCACACGTGTCGGCTGCAATTGGGAGGCAAATTTTGGTTTTGGAGCACGCACCGCCTCTTCCCACTCAACCTTATCCGCAAAGGCAGGGTGCTTCGGATTCTTCAGAGTGGTTGTGGCGTTGTCGCCGTCGCCCCGTCTGAACATCAAAATATTCAATCTGCCAATGTGGCCCAAGAAAACCCCGAGGACGCCCAACAGATGCCCAATAGAAGCCTAACAGGGCCCCACCTGGCCCAAGGAGAAATCATGGGCAGCCTCGACAACAATCTAACAAGCTTTCTCGACTGGTAGTATGACCAGCGCCTAAGGCGGAAGCGCAAGTCCAAACTGGGAATGCGGCTGGCGCTCAAGCAGGACCTCCCCGGTGCGTCGATCCTCCGGGGACCGCTGGGTATGGCAGGTTCGTGCCGTGAAGACCGCGGCGATGGTTTCTGACACCACGCGGATCTTTCAACCTTGAACTATCGGAAGCTTCTCCATCGCCGCATCGTTCCAAACAGGCCGAATCTGGGCCGCTGGCAGCGTTCAACCTTAATTGCCCACGCTTGGGTCGCCGCTGGTCGACACGACGCGAACGTGCCGTACCCCGCATTGAAAAAATCACATCGGATCTCTGAGCGCCAAGACCAAACAAAAAACGACCCGCCCGCGACATCCTAAGGATGTCCGGGGCTTGCAGACGGTCAACTCGATTTAGAAACAATTCGGGCGACATCTCTTGGGGTGGACGTGGATGCTGAAGCTGGGGCCTTTGATCACTACATCAACAAACTGCCAGACACCGACCGTGATTTGCTCTGCACGATATGGTTTCGGTTGGGCGCCCTCATGTCCGAAACCAAACGCAGCCCGGGACTAGGCCACATGTCCGAACACAAACCGGAGGCCAACAGTGTCACACATGACTGTCACACATAATTACCCTGTCCGCCCCTGAACACTGCAATGAAATAAAGGGAACCAAATGGAAATCTGCACAATGCAATATGACATTCGTTCCGCGTCGTTTCCGGACGGCCCCGGAACCTGGCTGGAGGCCCTAGGAGGCCGACAGCGGGGCAAAACCTGCAGGATCCTTTCTGTCATGGCGACGGGTGCGAACACGCGAGCATGTGGGGGGGGGCATCCCCCAAAATGGCTACCTGGCATACCTCCATTCGCCGTGCGATTGGTTCGCGTCGTGACGACCCTGGCGTTGGTTTCTGACACTGTGGGCTCGTTCAGCGTTGAACGATCGGCCGTGTCCAAAACGTCAGACCGTTCAACATCGACTGATTCTGGGTCGCTGGCGGTCAACCGTGAACGCCCGCGGCGGGGTCGTCTGTCGGCACGACGCGAACCCACCGTACCAGCTCCCAAACATGGGTCATTGAAGGGAAGAGACGGGGGTAAACCCCCACATGGCTCTCAAATCCAGGCCGGCCACGGGGGATCCAGAGGCCTGGCTCTGGCCCATGATCAAATCCACGCTCTCATCCCAGATTGTGTTTCTGACGGTCCTGGGGCCTATGCCAGAAATGGCCCACAGCCTAATGTTTTTGGTCGTATGGTCGAAACAATTTGCAAATCTACCCTACACACATGATGTATCTTCCCCATCATCTCCTGAGCCAGAGGGTCCCTTTGAGGACCTTCTGCATGGTCTGTTCTTTCGTGTTGATCGATGGCATTGCGGCAGCGCGCGCGGCTGGCGCGCGCTCATTTTCCAACTACAGTGCGCAAGATGCGCAGCACCGTCAGTCAAAGCAATTGCAACTGGCGCTTTCTCCATTGAAGGGGGCGTCCAAAAACTTGCACCAAAGGCCCGTGATAAAACATGATCGACCCACGAACCCGGAAAGGAATATAGACATGTAACGCGTGGCAACTTTTTCAAAGACACCTGATTGGGTTACGGGCAAATGCAATGCTGAGTGTATCGATCTTGATGTACCGTGCCGAAATATGTGCTGTGCTGCGCCGTGCTGCATTGCGATGTGCCATGTCGCGATTGTGCTCTACAGCCTCGTGGATCGAGTCCTCCTTTGCATCTGAGTCCTGACCGAACTGATCTGGATCTTAAGCTCGAGCTGCCTGAACACATAGTAGCTGCCCCAGAGCTAATTGACAGGGGGACATGCCAGGAGGACGCGCCGCGAAACGTCCCGAGGGACAAGGGACGTGCCATGGGGTCGCACCGCGGGACGTGCCAAGGGGATACGCTACGGAACGTGCTGGGGACAAGCGTTTCGCTCGAGACATCCTTTCAAAATCCTCTGAATTCCTGCGCGCGGGACGCGGCACGCGCGAGACATCCTCTGAATTCCTGCGAGCGGGACGTGAACACAAGCATTTCGCCTGAGACATCCTCTGAATTCTGGTCCTCCACGAGGCCCCCCCTCGAGACATCCCCCCATTTTGCAAAACCAGCGTTTCGCACGGGACATCCTCAACAAATCCCACCAGCCCTTTAGGGCGTGAGTGGTTTAGATAGTCCTCTCTGTTCTCAACCCCCTTCCTCCCCTTCGGGGAGGGGTTTACCCCTCCCCCTACCCCCTCCCCCTGGGCCTGGAGAGTTAGGCCGCGGGTCGCCGGGGCGTCCTTTGTCGGTCCCTGGCAGGCTCTTTTTTGACACCCCTCACAGGGATCGCGGCCCCAGGGGGGGGAGGGGGGCAAATAAGTGCTTTCGTCTTCTTTGACCGATCTCCTCCAAGATGGCCCCAAGAGCGCTCCCAAGGCCCCCAAGAGCGCTCCCAAGACGGCTCCAAGACTGCCCAAGAGGGCCCAAGCGGCGGCCAGTACGGCCCAAGAGGGCCCCAAGACGGCCCCAAGAGCGCCCAAGTGGCGCCCAAGAGCGGCCCAAGAGAGCCTCAAACGGCCCCAAGACCGCCACAACACGGCTCCAAGTGGCCGCGGAGCCTCCCGAGGACGCCCCAGAGAAGCTAAGACGGCCCAAGAGGTCCCCAAGACGCTCCAAGAGAGCCCCGAAAGGCGCCCTAAGAGGGCCCCAAGAAGCCAAAACCATTGATTTTCCGTGGGCGTTTCAAACATTTTAGCGTTCCCGCCCTTTCGGCTTCCCGACCCTCCAAGACAGCCCCAAAGGCATGCAAGACCGCCCCAAGACGGCTCCAAGACGGCCCAAGAAAACCCCAAGGCGGCCCAGGCGGCGGCCAATACGGCCCAAGAGGGCCCCAAGACGGCCCCAAGAGCGCCCAAGTGGCGCCCAAGAGCGGCCCAAGAGAGCCCCAAGAGGCTCCAAGACCGCCCCAAGACGGCTCCGAGTGGCCGCGGAACCTCCCAAGGACGCCCCCGAGAGGCCAAGACGGCCCAAGAGGCGTCCAAAACGCTCCAAGAGAGCCCCGAGAAGCGCCCTAAGAGGGCCCCACGAGGCCCAAATCCTATGTCTTCCCTTAAATGTTTCAAACATTTTAGCGTTCCCGCCCTTTCGGCTTCCCGACGCTCCAAGACAGCCCAAAAGGCCCGCAAGACCGCCCCAAGACTGCCCACGAAGCTCCCAAGACGGCTCCAAGACGGCCCAAGAAGGCCCCAAGACGGCCCAAGAGGCGGCCAATACTGCCCAAGAGGAGGGCCCCAAGACGGCCCCAAGAACACCCAACAATCGCCCAAGAGCGGCCCACGAGGGCTCCAGGAGGTGATATTTCGGGCCCCGACGGGGGTACACCAATACATGCTCTCTCCTTTTTTGCCCGATGGCCTCCAAGATGGCCCCAAGAGACCTCCCAAACTCCCACAAAGTGCCCCGAGAGGGTTTCAAGACTCCCAGAGGAGCCCCAAGAGAGCCCAAAGAGAGCCCCAGGGCCACGATTCCCTGAGATCCCAAGAGAGCCCCAAGATCGCACGGCAACGCCAGGAGGAGGAGGAGGAGGAGGAGGAGGAGGAGGAGGAGGAGGACGAAGAGAAGGAGCAACGAGGACGAGGAGAAGGAGAGGAGGATGGAAGAAAGAAGCCAAAGAGAGGGAGAAGGAAGAGAAAACACCCTACGGTCCCCGCACCTTTTTCGAGCGGCTGCTTTTGGATGGGCTGGTGGGGACTCGCGAAGCGTAAACAATTATGAACAACAAGCGTTTCGCTCGAGACACCCTGTCACCATCCAAAGAAATCCTTGCAAAACAAACTAGTTAGTCGAGACATCCTCATAATTTCTGCGCGCGGGACGCGGCACGCGCGAGACATCCTCGGATGTTTTGCGAGCGGGACGTGAAAACAAGCATTTCGCCTGAGACATCCTCTGAATTCTGGTCCTCC